CAATCCTCCTGCACCTTCCTTCTGTGGCCCCTCCACCAACTCGAGGCTCCTCCGCAGCCGCACAGAATATAGCGGGCTGCTTCTGACACAGGATCTCAACCAGAGTTTCCGTAGTTTCTATTAAAAAACAAAGGCTGAAACTAAGCCATAGCATCTGCAGACTTGGACACAAACATGTTAAAAATAAAATTGAGCTGTCTAAAAAAGCTACTCCAAAAATGAAATCGCTGCAGCAAAGACACCAGTTAATCCCCCTTCAGTGCTCCCCTTAAAAGGTCTTCCTGAACAGAGGCTTGCTAGTCACCACTCTCTGAGCACAGCCAGCTAATTAACAAGGAGAAACAGCTCTATGTTATTAGTTATCCAAGATATTAATTTTACTTTTATCTTGATCTCAGGTCCTTTCACAGTCTTTTGCCAGGTTCTCTCTGTTTGTTGGGCACTGCTATTTTCCCAGACTGCAAGGTTTCTGGACAGGGTGATTTGTTTGTGCAGTGCCGAACACAAAGGCACCATTATCCTTCACCAAACCTCAGGTGCTCATGTAATGAAAACCCATTACAATATTGCTTTCAAGGTGGTCGAAAGTTCTCACAGCATATTATGACAGTACACCTTACTTAAAACTCACTCACAGCTCTGGAGTAATTAGAAGTATTTAGCTTCTGTGGAAAAGAGAATGAAAAAGAAAATATAATTCTTTAACCTGCTTGTTTTATGACCTGAAAGATCAATGGAGGATAAGGAAAATATCAACAAGGAAACACTTTAAAATTTGATTTCTTTCTCCCTTTTCCTCCACACACTATCTTCCGTTTCATACTTCTTACTCTTACTGTACTTTTAATTTGTCACTCTGTGTCCCTGCACAGTTCTTTTCCCCCTCAGAGTCAACACTTAAAGGAGAACTTCTAGTTGAGCAGTAGCTAGAAAAAAACTGGAAAAAGAAAAAAAAAAAAAAAGTCTGGCTCTGAGAGCTCAGTTGTGAACCCATAATATTGACTTTTCTAGAAAGAATCTGGTATATGAAGCATTGTACATAAACAAACATCATTCCTTCTTCTTCCAATTATAGATACTTAGTTACAAGACTGATACATTTAAAAACATCCAGTGATACTGAGTATTAGAAGGTAAGTATATATTCAAATTCTGAAAAAAAAATGTTACAGTTTATACCATCATAAGTATTGAAGAAGGAAAAGTTAATATAATGCACTAAATAGCTCCTCTAATAACAACGTAAGTAATTTTCATTCTAGGAAAGAACGGCTCTAATATAATTCCAGTTCATATTGAACTGCAGAGGGATATCTTTGAATAAGACACATGACAGTGATGAAAAGGAAGTTCAAAATCCCTACAGTGAGAATTATTTGATATCCTCAAAACAAGTTTCTATTTGATTCTTGGTTGAGTGGACTTTTGGGACTTTTTAACATCATCCAAAGGGCTCTTCCAAATGTGCATCTTCCACCATTTGAAGCATTTCACATGTGCTTGAAATAAAACAGAAAAGAATAATCAAAGATTTCTGGAAGGCAGCTTTTCCTTTTTGACACCAAGCCCCAAAAAAGGCATATAGAGTAAACCTGACTGCATTTAACACAAATGGGTTAAAGATGAATTTGACCTAATTATTACCTATAAGAATGATTTTTTTAAAAGCAGCTTTTTAATATTTTCAAATGGAAAAACATTGAATATACTTCTGAAATTCCTAAAATTATTGGATTTTTACATTTATGCCATAATATCTTTTCTTAAATATAGCTAGTAAAATTGTAATACACAATCAAGACTGTTAAGCTGTGGTATAATTTTTAAAGCATTTTTATTCATTGCTAATTTATAATCTGTTTTGTATACAGATCTGTGTAGCCGAGGCTGGTAACTATTTCCCTGATACAGCAGCTTCTATACATCACACAATTTTGTGATCTGATGACTTCTGAGAAATGCTGCTATTATATCTGAAACACTTCAGTACAAATGCCTCAAAAACCCAAAGGCTAAGTCAGGAGAGACAATGTAAATTCAGGTGCAGAGAAGCAACATTTAACTCTTTCAGATTTTTCTTTGTACACCAAACTGCCATACCAGACAAAGGAAGACTGCACAGATTATTAAGGAGGACTTTTAGACATGAAAAGACATCATGAATATAAAGCAAAACAGTGGTTGGTCTTGTTGACGACTGTGTGGACATCTGTCACAGGTCAAACTAACAGCCAAACCTGTCATGACCAGCAGGGAGCTATGAAGAGGAGTATGGTCTGGTTTCATTTGGCCGAGAATATTTATTTTGGGAATAAAAAACACAGAAAGAACAACATACAACTCAAAGGTGCATTGAAAAGGAAGGTATCTGGCTTAAGCTCAGGGTTTCTAGCTCTTTGGAATGGAAACCTAGACATTTGATGGTTTTGGGGGTGAGAAATGGTCTATCTAGAGTTCTTCCACTGATGGAATGGAAATCTACAGTAAGCACACATTGCTGGTGACATCTGCCAGGTCTGAAACGCAGAAGGTTTTACAGGCCAGTGCAGGGTGAGATTATGCCACATGGGCAGAACCACCTTTTTATTACACATCAGAGAACTGAAAACAGGCACTCCTCCTGGATTTTTTTTGTGTAGTAGTGATTGTTAGGAAACAGACAAGACCACCATCTTTACTTTCATCGAAGACATTTCAGGAATGCTACCATCTGAAGGATTAATATATTATTAATATGTCAGTCTGGTAAAAAAAGCAGTCACAAACTAGTACTGGTCCTTATGTTTCAGTGGGACCATGCAAGGTTTTTCATTCTGAAAATGTACCAGTTCAGTCAGCCTAGAATTTAGCAGCTCTTCAAAACGAGAAGTTTTTCCTCAATACTCTTCTAGAATCTCTTCCAGATGATCTGGCTCTTAGATAGCCAGCACTACTCACTCTGCCAGTACCTGACAGTCCTTTAGTTCATGTAATGCCATGGTCTTGCTCCCACTGGCTGATACTAAAGGCAATTCTGAAAACTTGAAAGATAGGAAGGGTCATGTCATCCTTACTAGGTGAGTCCAACATGCACTTACAAGTGAAGTTAATGTAATCTTTATGCCTGACGCTGCATGACTAGGTGTCAGATCTCTTTGCCTTTGACGCAGTGCCGCTACAGTTAGTGCAAAGACTACTAAAAGAGAGGAAACCTGAATCTACAATCTTGCTATCCATACTGGTAGTCATGGAACTGTTTCAGAGAGATTCTCAGCTGAAAAACCAAAGGAATAGCCCATGGTAACAGCTCTACTACAACTCGTGCCTTCTGTTGTTGCATTTTCAAAAACATCTTTTCAAGAAATAAACATTGTTTTCACGGACTGTTCCAAAAGAAGTAATTTGAACTCTGTCCTTCGCCTAAAATTGAAGGGAAGGAACAGCAAGTAAAACACTCGAGACATATCCCTTCTTAAAGAGGAAGTGCGTACGCTGTGCCTTGTAACCTAATGGTCTCAGACTACAGTTTTTTAATAGCTTTATATGGACTTGAAGTGGTGACTCCCGCTATCCATGTATCTCATCACCTTATTTTTTTCAGAACTAGGGCTTGTTATGTACTGACAAAACATGAATGGGATCCAGTAATTTCTTAAAGTCAGCTATTACTGCTCTGCTTTGCTAATGTGGTATGCTGTCATATAATGCCTTATATATATTTATAGAAGTAATTGAGTAATGCTACCCCCTAGTTACTTAGGTGACCAGTGCTCAGAAAGGTTCTTCACCAGTATACTAACTTCTGCACGTTTGTGTCTCAACTAGTTTTCTCTATGAACCATCCACATATTCAAGTTTTCCCACTTAGGCAGTTTTTGGTCTTTTCTGTATTTTTTACAACTGTCAGAAAAAAAAAGACACTGAGCACACACAACTGACCACACTAAATCAGGAATCAGTTCTTCAGCTTAAGTATAATGTGACATCCTCTTTCTAAAATAGCATGAAGGTTTTCTTTCATGCACATTTCTGGGCTCTTTTTTGGTCCACAGCATATTTCAAGAGCAGCCTGTCTGAGGAAACAAACTAAACCCAACAACAGAGTAACTGCCACAGAAACTTATTGGAAGGCATTACAAAATAAACAGCTTTTTAAAGAGCTCTCAGACTTAATAGTAAAACCTATTAAAATTGTCTATAGTGATTTAATTTGTAACAATTCCATTTCAGACAACTTTGCCTGGTTGTTGGTTAGTGAAAATGGCATTTTTTCCCCACTACTAATACCTGCACATTCCTCCCATCTCAAACACTTGACAGGGAGGTGGGGAGAAGATGCCCACTGCTATTTGAAGTGGTGGTCTGAAGATCCAGATGAATTCAGGCCGCAGGAGTACCATGCTCCAAAATGAAAGAATCCTCATACAAAACTCTCAGCAGATGCTGTCCTGGCAACCAAATTGTCGGCCTCTAAGCACAGGAGTCTCAACCATTATTCTTACACTGTTCATACCTCAGTCTCTCAGATAAACAGATGCATCTTAAGATGCTCAATGTCAAATGGGCAACTTTAGTGAGGCTCACACGCTACCTGAAAAATCATCAACATATGATCAATAAGCATAACTGGAGCAGGCTTATGGGAAGATATTCAATCTTCACCTCACATCCCCAAATCATTCTCTGTTTCCTCACTAGTTTTGTTTTCCAAAAAGGTTTAAAGGCATAACACAGCAGCTCTTGAGTGAAAGCAGAAATGTATAAGTGGTGAAAATTTACTTTCACAGTGTATTACATAACATATATGAACATCTTTATTCAAATGAGTTGAAGTTCTAAGTTTCATACATGTAATGCCACTAAAGTAAATGAAAACTGGAAGGTGAGCAAGTACTCACTAAAGACAACATTTACACCCTTGCACTTTTGAGTCTTTTGTCAACAGTAAGAGCTCGTACATTGTAACACATTTTTGTTTCTGAGAATTCAGTAATAAACAAATATATTTTCCAATAACATACCTTGAAGTTGCAATTTCCACTTTGGTTCTTGCCATGGCAGCTGCTCGCTGTGCACCCTCTATTGCTCTGTCCACCTTTTCTCTAGTTTTTGTGTTTCGTATTGGTATAAGTTGCTTTCTTATTCCACGGACCAAAATGTTATTTTTATATTTTCCCTCTTCTTTGGTGCCATCTGGAAACATGGTACATCCATATCCATGCCTCCTGTTATTTAGCCATTCTCCTTCATATTTCATACCATTTGAACGCTCACTAATACCAAAACCACTGCGCTTGTCATTCTTCCATTCACCCATATAGGCTTCTGTAGTGGTGGCATCAACATGGTCTTCCATAGGGCAATAATCACAGTCACCGTCTCCAAAACTAATCGTAGAGTTGGCATCACTAGAACTAATTCTGCTCATAGCAGCATCACTCCTGACAGAGCTCCGTTTGCTAGATATCGATGACCTAGATTCAGATTTTCTAAGTTTTATACTACCAAGAAGGGATCCTCTTCTGAATAAGCCTCCTTTTTTCTTAATGCCCATGGCTTCTGGATCACTGTGAAAATTGAGAACAAAACCTCCTCTTGTTCCAGCTGGACTGTCTGAAGTGACATCATGCAGAACAGTGCCGTTGCTCTGCTCACTCCGGAGTGAAGCTAGAGACGTTCGGAGGGGTGAACGGATCACAGTTGCCATGCCATAGGGTACACTCTGACGTACACCATATCCATGTCGCATCCCTCCTGTCCACTGCCCCTGGTATGTACCTTTTAAGGTAATAAGGAAAAATTAAATTTAGGAAGCTGTACAAGACCTAGTACTCTACATCCAGTGTGCTACAGGCAATACTATGTTGTCAGCTCAGGTTTTGGTAAAGACATACAGAAAATCACAGCACATGACACAGCAGATAAACTACTTCTGTTGTTTGTTTTTCTTATAATTAATTTTTCTGCTTAACGAAATCTTCACTTTCCCAGCTGAAGTAATTTATTTTGGCAATTAAAACAGCAGCTATAATCATAAGCATTTTTTGAATGGATCTGTCCATGGAAAAATTTTCAAGAGAAATTTCTAAAGCAGGACTCCCTCAACATTTTTTTTAAGGTGGTCAGATGGGGAGGTGGTCAGCAGACACAGAGACATGTTATATGCGGTCAGCTGGGGAGGGAGACAGGGATAAAAGGAGGGGAGGGAGTGGGACACTCCTGGCTCTTGCCTGCAGCTGCTCACAGGAAGAGCAAGTATGAGTAGTAAATGTCCTGGTATCCTGGGTTTAAGGTGACTACAGACCTCTCCTTGTCAGGACATATTTGACAATCCATTAAACTTGTCTTCAGATGGGCCTTTGGATCCACTGTTATAAGCCTTTATTGTAGAATTAAATATTTTGAATTTGTTGCATATACTTGAATGGAAGAACAAAACCTCGATACATCTTACTCTTCAAGAACTCTTGATATCAACACTTCTGGTATCCCGACTATCGTAAACCTGGCACTGCATTCTGCATTATGTTGTGACAGAAAGATCAGAAAAATGAATCCTTTAGCACTTTTTTTGCCTTTCATTCGTTCTGCAGTATAAAACAAAGACGAAGCAGTGATAAACATAATATTGCACACCATGCTATCATAAAACACATTTCACTGTTGCAATCATAACTGCTTTGTTATTTTTTCAAACAGCAATATAAGGAAGAACAACATGGTATTTCATATGAGAAGTCATGGATAGCCATGTAACGGAATACATACAAAGCTGTATCTGAGCCAAAACCCAGCATTATCAGATTACTACTGCAGACAAATTTTTTCTTGGATTCTCGAAAGGCATTTTCATTTTGATGAGATACAAACTCCAGTGTCTTATCTCTGAAAGCCATTTATACCAGATATTCCAAAGGAAGGTGCCAGGAACCCCACAACTGGCAAATACAAGATAATTTGCTTTCTAAGGTCTTTTCACTCTAATTCCCATTAAACTGCTTTAAGCTCCTCAAAATGAAGTCTCTCACCCACCTAGTGCTGCTTTTATTTTTTTTTTAAAGCTATTCTGAGTTTGAATATTCTTACAGAAGGATGAATAAGCAATCTTTAAAATATCTTACTTTGATTTTGATCTGCTTTAATTGGAGCACCCACTAAAAACTATTCTTCAAAGAAATAAATATCAAATGTCAAATTCAGTGATTGACTAAATTTTTGTAAAATACTTACAGTTTTAGACATAGCTCAACACTTCATCTGCTTTGAGATTCGATCTCCTTTGTATAAGCATACTATTTTGGTCATGAACATGTCAATTATCTATCAATTATTGATTTACTCTATAACCTCTTCTCCTAAGTTACATTTTAATGTTAACATGCAATGAAATTTGCCAAGCATGCTTTCTTTATTATATAATACTAGATAGGCTTCACAACATAATTATTTTTTGTTGGTAGAAAATTCTACCAAGTGGAAGGTTTTTGTTTTAACAGATGGCTGCTGACACAAACAAACAACTTTCTTAGTTTCTTTTCTCATTCTCTGTATCCTGGATACCTACTGCTGCACTGGTTGTAAGGGTGCTGAATGTGGAAACATGATTATTTTAAAAAACTCAGCATATGGAGAAGAACAAATAGAAACATGAGCACAGAGCACTGGTATGACGTATTCTGCAAATACTGCAAAAATATGGCCACATTGCATTTTTTTTTCTTTATTAAACAGACATTTCCCAGAAATATATTAATATTTTATGAACACAAATGTCTACATTTTGTTCATAATTATGTCTGGGATCCCCCTAGTATCGTAATGCTATGCTGGAGCTAAGAACCTGGCTACATATACTTACTGCTACATACAACAATCTGTCCAACACTCTGCAGCAGTTAATTTCATTTAAAAATAATAAATCTAATTCTAGTTTTGATTACACCACAATATTACATTAGAGCAGTAGCTCATAATTATGTCTCTCCATGTTGCTATTTGACTGTCAGACTAGAAGTAGAATCAACTTATTTCAGTATGAAATTTTATAAAAGTACAAAAGGTCAGCCTTTTTTCTTACTAATATTTTGTTTTAATACATATGGAAAGCTCAAAAATACTTAATTGATTTCGGACTTGTATTTTTCACTACTCTGTAGAAAGAAGTGGAAGTGGTCGCTGTTGCCCCGCTGAATAAGGACATTAAAACAAGGACAATTGATGTGCTATTTACTTGTCTGATTTTTCTTTCTACTGGGGACATAAAATCAATGCCAGCTTCTTCTAAAGACAAAATAGTCACTGAGAAAATGGAAGAGTTGTACTGAATTGGTCCTTAGAAAGTACCAAAGATATTTAGTTGGAATTTTGTTCAGTCTTGCAGGTAACAACTATCTCTTCTGTCATTACAAATCCACTAAGGGAAAGGCTTCCGATGCTAGTGCTAGAAAGCTGATTGATCTTCCTTGATTGTTTCAACTTACATTTTAAATGAAAAAATATTTTAATGCCATATGGAGGGCAGTGTCCAGAATGCAGATACAAGAGATTTGTACAGTAATTTGATTGATAATATCAGACTCTATCATCTTCAACAGAAGAAATTTTAGAAAACTTTAAATGAGCAAGACAATGTTAATATGGCAATATAATTAAATACTACAGCATAAAAGACATGATAAAAAAGCTTTTCCCATACATGAATATACAAACATATGCAATATTTACCTATCTCTATATATAGATGTAAATATGAATGATACATCAACCTGCAGACTGGAAAAGGGGAAACATAACCCCCCTTTTTAAAAAAGGAAATAAGGAAGACCCAGGAAACTACAGACCGGTCAGTCTCACCTCTGCGCCTGGCAAGATCATGGAGCAAATCCTCCGTAAATCTATGCTAAGGCACGTGGAAAACAAGCAGGTGGTTGGTGACAACCAACACAACTTTACCAAGGGAAAATCGTACATGACGAATTTGGTGGCCTTCTATGACAGGGCCACAGCACTGGTGGATAGAGGAAGGGCAACTGACATCATCTACCTGGACATGTGCAAAGCCTTTGACACGGTCCCACATGACATCCTTGTCTCTAAGTTGGAGGGACACGGATTTGACAGAAGGACCACTTGCTGGATAAGGAATTGGCTAGACGGCCACACTCAAAGAGTTGTGGTCAATGGCTCAACATCCAAGTGGAGACTGGTGACAAGTGGTGTCCCGCAGGGGTCGGTACTGGGACCGGCGTTAAACATCTTTGTCGGGAGACACAGACAGTTGGATTGAGTTCACCCTCCTCAAGTTTGCCGACGACACCAAGTTGTGTGGTGTGGTGGACAC